TATATATATATATATATATATATATGGGGTGCCGAAGAGGTATATGTCGAGAAATGCACATCAGATTAAAAATCTAAAAATACATGTGTGAAATATTTTCAATTGATGTATCCAGCCTCACCCTTGGAGGTGGGTAAGTTTCAAAATGCCTATTGGGTGACCCCATTCTTTATTGCAGATTTAGAAAATTTTGAAAAAATGGGATAATTTTTTCTGTTAGAAAATCCAACTTGGGCCATTAATTCTTTTGTAAATATCAGTAAATTGGATTTTCGCACTTTTGGTAATAGGTATCCTCCACGCTGTCACAGAGAAAAGCCAGAATAAGTTTACCATCCCTCATAATAAATGAGTCCTCACCTTACTGTACAATGAATAATTTGCATTTGCACACGAAGCCATCTGTGCCAAACAAATTCTTTTTCTCTTTACAGTCCTTTGTTTGGGGATAGTGAATTCATTTATATCACAAACTACTTGTATAGTAAAATAAGAGAAAATCTTCTCATAGAAAGCAGGGTGGATGTTTATTCGAACAGCACTTTCGAATTTTGGAGTAAAGTCTTCCCAACATGTAGCAACTGAAACTTGCTTCCTCCGAACGCATCCTTGATTGTCTGGAATTTTCCTTGGTGGACATTAACTTGCGATCAATTTTGCTGTGTGACTTTGCCAGGGAGTTTAGACTCCTGGTTTTGATACACCTGAGACCATATAGTGAAAGATTAGAAACAGCAACAATTTTGATTCGTAATGAGGGAAGACATCAGCCTGAGATGGTAAATCTATTGTGGCTTTTCACTCTTATCACATTGAGTATACCGACTCCAGAAAATCATTCACTGCCATTTTCAGAGAGAACTGTGAACCAAGTTGATTTATAATCTCATAGTGAAATATTCGCGAGGCTAGTTTTTCAATAGTAAGGTGCATGTTGTGAAATGGTCTGTCTTTTCCCTTTATTTATCTTAATATCTAAGAAAAAGTGAGGGGATAGCCTTCGTAGGGTTGTATAAACCAACGCTGTTTCAGTCCACGGCAGAATTAAGGGCGGCCGTTATTGAAACCTTGGATAATATTGATACCACTGGCCTTCAAGATTCGCTAATTGGTAAGCAACATCATATGTCCAAGTCCTATATGAACACGATGGATATATCGGCTATTAACATTAGTGGCTTTATTTTGGTGCAGTTTTATTTCCTTGTTTACACAATAAAAATTTTTTGAGTTAAGTGAGTTACCCCTTCTAAATATGTATTTGTTAATAGACTTGCTTAAGATACATATTTAGACTGATTTTCTTTGCATCTAATGGACAGCAAAGTAAAGGATTATGTGGGAAGTTATGGCACAAAATCAAAGAGACTTTATTTCCCTCCCCGCATAGCAAATTTCGGATGAAAATTTCAGCCCGGCAAATACAATAGTAACTGTGACCAGTGCATTCTAAGTAAAAAATGTAGTTTAGTTCCATGTTGATCAAACAGTATTTGCTAAAAACTCGATGAACACTTGGAAGTACACGGTTTCACATTGCTAGTAGTTTATTATAATTTTGAATTAAGAGTGACCAGACTGAATGCACTGAGGCGGAAAGGGATAAGCGTTGCTGGCACAAAGGAAAAAATGAACACTCGTAATAGCGTAAGTCTCGCTAAAGCGATTAGCAGCACTACCACCCAGGATTCTAGAAGGTAAGAAGATTGCACAAATTGCTTATAATCGAATTGCAGTTTACGCGAGAGTGCTTTAAGTCGTGCTAAAGATGGATGCGTCCAGAACAGAACAACTCGTTGCAGTAGTGAGGGCGTTATGCGTAAATTTATCATCGAATGGTGGCTTTATAGTGATAGAACGAATGGCTGTAAGCAAATGGAGTAACAGTTTTTGTGAAGGCTTTACCTAAATATCAAATATAAGATTAGGATAAGCAAACGCCACGATCTTTGCTAAAATTTATTACTGTTGTAGACAAACCGATTGGAGGCAAATTTAGTTACGATTCATGATTTGTCAGAGTAAAGTCAGTACTTATGTGCGTTATGGTCTGGGCGACTCCATCTTCAGCACGACTTTACTTTAAAATTTAAATACTTTCCTACTGTTAGATATAATCTGCAGTATACTTCATCTTTCGTATTTTTATGCTACTGTGTATTGCTGTTGTATATCTGACGTTCCACTCGTGAACAATTATCATGTGGGCTACCTTTTAACGATAAATAAATATAGCAGTTCGGATTCGGTTTGATATTTAAAAAAAATGCAGTAGAAAAAAGATTTAAACATACAAGGGAGGCACGCTGGAGTTGGTGTCCATCTTCCTCCCGAACAAACTACTTGTACATCATTATCGTTTCTTCCTTGAAAAGTAAAAGGGTAAAGGCATGAGACATAGAGTCTCTCTTCAGCTGGTTTCGTAGTCCCTATTGTCTCCTGCAACCCAATAAGTATATACAGTGAGAAAAAGAGAGAGAGAGAAAGAAAGAAAGAAATCTATGAACAATTAGCAGTTCATTGTAGTTCCATTATTTACCAGTTATAATTATTAAGGTTTCAAAAACATAGGGAATTCAATCATAATAGTTTTTATGTCTCAGCCATCACTTAGTTTAAAAGCTGAAAATTATTAATAATATGAAACAAAAACAGTCGCCTCCATTACTAGTTCATTGAAATTCGAAACTTGCAATTCCACATCTAAGAGCACAATGGATAGCGGAAAAAACAACCCAAGTAATTATGGACCCTGATAAAGAGCTCAACAATACCGTCCGTTAAGTACCACGAGACCGTATTTACAAAAAGTGGTAGGCATTTGAAAAAAAAAAAATTTATGTTCCCCGAAAATAATGTTCTCTTTTGATAGTGAACTCTTTGACTACTAACTGCTTTTAAGTTGAAGTGCTTCATGTGAATGGCGTGTAGAAGCGTTCTCCAAGGAAAAGTCTTTTTTCGCGCTATATAGATATCGTCAGCGCCTTATTAATACGTTATAATATTGTATACTTTTCAATTACTACGATTTTAACAACTTTAAAAAATATCCAAATTTTTTTTATTTTTTAAATATTGTTTAGAGCCGCAGTGGCTTAGGGGATAGAGAGCTCACCACCCAATGAGGTCGCCCAAGTTCGAATTTCAGCATTGATTGGTTGATATGAATTTTCCCAGGAGAATTACTGCTGTTATTGCTGCCAGAGGAGGCTGTTCTGAGTACTGATTCCTCAGGATCTTATACATCCAAATATCCAGAAAATTTAATCACTTGTTCTTGCAATTATAATGTATGTGCCCAATAAATATTCTGTTAATTAGCATTCCTTCCTGGTGAAGCAATTCTAATGGCCAGTAATGTATATTACAAAGTATGCTAACGCAACAATTACATCACGTTGGCAACTGCTGAAACTTGTTTTAAACAAAGAATAATTGGCCAAATAATTGAAATTTCCTTTTTTTCTCGTAGCTAAGTAACAAGATGTGTCTACGAGTGTTGGGCATACACGAGAGAAACACATTCTGAATATACACATGAGACAGCAGTAATCAGTCAAAGCCTTCAGTAAGAGCGCATTTGCGTCCATCGTATGCACCATTGACTTGCGCCGATCTCACATACATCCATGGCCAAATTATTCGACGCCTTCTAAGATTCTATGTAATGCAATACGTAAAAAATAATAGTACATAAAACATATCCTCTATAAAACCCCATTACATTTATGTTTAAATATAAGAGTATTGCATATAAACTCGTGCAAAATATGCAATTATTAAAATACTACAGTGCTCCTAATAATTTGGTCTAATTATTATAATATAATACCTGATACAAATATTCTATATTTGTATAATATATTGTCTAATTTAACCAATTATCGAATTTATATTATATATCGTCTAATTTCCCCAATTTATACACGAATGTAAACAAGTACAAACCAGTTTCAGTCGCGTAAAAACAATAAAGCTGTATAGTATCACTTGATAATTAAGATTTTACATAGAATCTTATAGTGCGTCTAATAATTTGTCCAGGGGCTGTATGAGCCTATGGGCCGAACCGATTGTTTCAGCAGGACGCACACAGCAACTAAAAGGTTATGGCTTAATATATATTTTAGTTATAATTTAATTTAAAAATTACCATCACATATTCGTATTCCGTGACACGACCGTTCCAACGCCATACTACCTTTGCTAAACGTTTTGTGAAAGCTCCATTGTTTATTTGATGAACTGGACAATTGTCTGAAAATATAATAAAATATAACTGATGTTAACATATTTTTAAGCAGTACTACTAAAAATTTTTTATTTTATTTTCAGATCCTAATATTTTTGTTGATTAGCATAGTTATCTATAATACAATAGAGTTTAAAAGTAATAAGACGAGCTGCTGTTAAAGATGAGCAAATTTTTCAAACTGATTTTTTAAAAGGATGAAACAACGTGGCTACTAGAATTGAGCAAAACTTGCAAAAACTTCAAACGCGAAAAAAATTTCAAAATATATTTTGAAAACGAGAGTAAAAATTATAATCAATGCTATTCATGAACATTTTGTAACAAGTTTTAAAATTATACATTGCTACAAGTTATAAAATAGTCGTGATGATTACTTAAATATTTTTAAGAGCCATTGACAAAGCCGCGGTGGCTGGTTGATACAAATTCTGCTCCCGACAGGCACCGATCATAGTGCTGACGTAAAATACCCTCAGTGGTAGGCAGTTCTTGATATTAGAATCCCCTTGCCGTCTAGCTAACTGTTAGAGGTTTTTGTGGTTTTCCTCTACATGTAACGAAAATGCGGGTTCGTTCCATTGAAAAGTCTTCCACAAAGTCTAGTTTGTTTCAATGCGTGATCCAGGAGTCATCTTGTTTTCTGGGTTGGGTTCAAAATTGCAAGGTGTTGAACAATGACAGTCATAAATTCAGAATTGGGTCGGCTTTTGCCGGTTATAAAATAAAGTATAAAATTAAAAGAGGCATTAACACTAACATATTTGGGCTTAAACATTTATTCAAAGGGTATATATTTGCTTTTCTCCATTCGGAAGATCTGATTTAGTGAATAGAAAGTGGAACAGCGGAAGAAGCATTTTTTTTTTGACTCATCAAATCTTTAACCTAAATTGAGAGGGGAGGGTGAATTTTTTATCTGAGTTTCTGTTTCTAAAATAAGGCAGAAGGAAGATAATACAGTTTCTATTATTTTTTTTATTACATTTATATTTGTTTGCATGTGCAAGAACGCTGATTCTTGGGGGGAAAAAAGAGAAATGTTTGTTAGACCTTAATAACCAGTAGTTAGTTCTCGTTAATGCAAGACATATCAGTCAAGTGCTTTTCTCAAAGGAATGAAGGAGGAATTCGTTTCTATAAAACTGTGTTAGAGGAAAGTTGAACAAAAAAGGACTTTTAGTTTTCCAAATTTTTCTTAAGCATCTTTGCAAATAAAATTGCTTACGTTTATATTTTAATGACAATTTGGCTGACTCCAGACACCCGGAGAATTACAGGCCTATAAGCCTCCTCCCCACCCTGGAGAAAATGCTTGAAAGAATAATCCTATCCAGGCTAGAACCACTCTTGATCTTCCTCCCTAAAGAACAATTTGGCTTCAGGAAGCATCTTTCTACTACCAAACAATTGATACGCCTCATTGACTTCATTAGTGATGGAATCTTTAAGAAAGAAGCCACCGCACTGCTCATGCTAGACGTGGCTTTTGACCGCGTCTGGCATAGAGAGCTTATTCTCAAACTTATTAACAAAAACCTTCCACATAATAGTATAAACATCATCGACTCCTACCTCAGCAACAGGACTTTCCAGATTAGACTAAATGAACATCTTTCAACTAAAAGGAACATAAAAGCGGGTGTGCCGCAAGGCAGCATCCTAGGTCCTATCCTTTATCTAATATTCACATATGACTTCCCTTCATGCAGCAACAATATAAATCAAATTATAGCATATTACGCAGATGATACAGCTATAGCTATCAGATCCATGAATCCTAATCAGGCAATAAAAAATATCAGCAGCCTCTTGCCAGAGATAGAAACTTTGTGTGCCGATAACAAAATACTAATAAACGCCGAAAAATCAAAACTTATGATTATACGAAGAAAGAAAATCTTAAATAAAAATGTCATTCTTTTCAGCAGAATCATCCCAATTGTTAATCAAGCTGATTACCTAGGACTTACTATTAATAGTAACCTAACTTGGAATCTTCAAATCAAAAAAGTTATCAACAAGGCTCATGCCCCTTACAGCTGCTTACAGCCTTTAATAAACTCCTGCTCACCACTTCCCTTAAACATTAAGAAAACACTATACACTATGCGTATAAGACCAATCTTAACCTATGCATGCCCCGCCTGGGGATGCATTAAACAAACCCAACTAAAGAAACTAGAAGTTGCTCAAAATAAATTTCTAAGACGAATTACTGGTGCCTCATATTACCTCCCAAACAGTGCCATCAGAAACGACCTTAACATCAGCACTGTCAATGAATTTATCAGTAAGCTAAATATCTCATTCTTCAGTAAAGCAAAAAATCCTGATCCAGCAGGCTTCAATGAAATACTGAATAAAGAATTAATACCAGATATGAAACTTTATTACCCAATAACGTCATTCCTACCGTCAGATTGTGTTCTTTCAAGGCTCTATAAATATTTCCCCTCCCCTCATCCAACTATGGATACTCCCAGAGAGGTGAAGTGACCTTCATGTGATCGCCGACTCGGGAGTATCCACCCCTAGTTTTATACCTAACTTGTCCTTTTATAAGCACGACAACAAGTATAAACT